CTTCAGGGAAGGCTTTCTGGGGAGGTGGTGTTTCCCACCCACAAAGCATCTCCCCATGTCAGGGCCCCACGGGACACGCTCTGGGAACTGCGGTGCTGTTCCCAGACGGCGCACGTTGTTGGCTCGGGGAACCTGGACGCCAGTGCCAGCTGCGCACTCTGCCCCTGGGCTCCCCCCTTTTCACCGGCACTTCCCGGCTGTGACGTGGACTAGGAAAGGTCTCGCCACCTCCCAGAGCTGTTTGTGCTCCGAAGTGCTCAGAGGCCTTGCTGGGGCTCTCTGCAGCCTGCGCCCCCTGTTGACGAGACCGGACACACTACGGTCTGGGGCCCCGGGCCCGTGAGGCTCAGCCAGGCTCTCATGTCTCTGTGTCCTCCTCGCTGTTTCCCAGCACCGAGACGCATGAGCAGGGAAGGGAGGGAGGTGCTGTCTGGGCTGGGAGCTGCTTAGGTGGCAGCTGGAAGAGATGCTGGGTAGGCCAGTGTGGGAAGTCCAGTTCTGCTCGTGAGGGGCACAGCGGTGACCCGGGTCGTTCTTGGTAACCACTGACCTGCATTTGGGTCTTGTTTCACTTTTTGTGTCTCGGGATCAGTCTCGTTCATGCCTTCACTCCGTCCCTCGGTCCTTCGCAGCATGTGCCAGGCTTGGCGCCGGGAGCCAGAGGAGGAGGGGGTGGTGCTGCCCAGGTCCCGGCCCTCTGCCCCAGGACGGTAGCAGCATGTCCATCGGGGCCATCAGCACTCGCGGGTTCTGCTGGAGCCACTCTCAGAACTGCCGGAAAATGCCCGCAGAGGTCCTGGGAAGGCTGCCCCACCCTGAGGAGTCCCCTCCCTTGGAACAGGGCAGCCCTCTTCCTGCCCCCTTCCCTGCCTGGCGCCCCAGCCGCCAGGTCCTCCCTCCAGGACGAGCAGGTGCCTGTGATCTCCTTCCCTCCTGCATGGTTTGCGCCTCCTATTCAACTCCCGCGGGGTCCCCAGGCCCGGCGCCAACAGCCTGCCCACGGGAGCCGCCTCAGGAGTTTGCGGAACCGCTGCCTCTGCAGCCGTGACCCTCTGCCTGGCTTCTTCCTGGCGAGTCCTCACGCCTTGGTTTTCTCCGTGGTCAGCGGGGCGCATCTGGCACCGCTGCGTTCCGCCTCGGGCCTGGCCCAGAGCTTTGTCCTCAGAAGACGGCCCCTAGTGCCAGGCAGATTCCTGGGGGGCCGGGATGGGCTCATGGAAGAAGTGGAGGCCGCGCTCTGGGGTCCCACGTCCCAGCCTCTGGTTTGCCTCTTTCCTAGCTTGTGCCACGTTCGGTAGTTACCACGCTGTTTTCGCCTGCTCCGAAGCAGGTGAGCGTCGTGCAGGTGAGACTCGGAGCAGCGCTGGCACCCAGCGGGCCTCCACCAAGGCTTGATGAACGAGCTTGTGAATGAATGGATGAAACGAGCAAAAGCCACGGCCAGCACCGTCCGAATCAGACAGTACCTGTCTCCCTCAGAGACCAGCCAGTCAGCATGCGGCACCTGGCCCCTGACTTTGTGCCCCAGTGAGGCGGGGCTCTCCTTCCACTGTCACTGTGTTTTAGGGCAGAGGCGTCCTGGTGACGTGGAAGGAGAACACGGGGACGGGCCAGTGGATAGGAGATGGGACGGGAGAAATGCCCGGCATCACTGAGGGGTGGACTTTGGAGCCAGATGTGCAGGGCCACATCCTGGCCGCAGCCCCGGCAGCTCCGCACCCCAGATTGACGGTTCGGCAGGTGTCTGCTGGAGCCCCTCCCGGGTGCGGTGCCAGTAAAGATGCCAGGGACTCAGTGCTGGACGAGGCGGCCGTAGTTTCTGTGCTCTCGTGGCTAACGTCCGCTCCAGCGGGGAAGACAGAGGATGACAATCAACCATACATCGGGGACACTACCTGGAGCCGTGGCAGCCAGTGCTAGGGCGGAGGGTTGGCCTTGTGCCAGGCTTGGGGGTCGGCCCAGGAGCTCAGCGAAGGAGTCGGTATCCTCACTGCCTTGTTCTGGAACGTGCCTGACTTACAGGTTTGCAGGATTCTCCATGGGGGATGGGGTAGGGGTGAGTACGGGGGCCAAGTGCACCACCCGCCCCAAGCCTGGGGGGACTGGGAGGGGCTGGAGCCCGTGCCTTGGGCCCCGGGGTGTCATGTCAGCAGGGCGCCACCTGCCCCATCCCCACTGGGGCACCTGGGAGGCCCTGCCACTGTGTGCTGCGCCTTCTTGTTAATTAGGTGCTAATGTCTCACAGGCAGCTTCACAGCCATGGCACCCTGAGGGCAGAGCGACCTGCTAATGTGCCGGCACCTCGGCCCCTCCCTGGGTGCGGAGGGGTCCTCTGCAGCTCCAGGGAGACTCGGGTCCAGCTGCTGGAGCTGGAGGGAGGCTGCAGGTGCGCCCAGCCCACCCTTTTCTGTGCACGTACACGTCGGGGTGCCTGCATGCCCACCCATGTATGTGCATGTTCACACACACAGGTGCACGCCCACATGGTAGGCGCACACCCACATGGTAGGCGCACACGTGGGCACGTTCACACTCACCCACCCTTGAGGGCGTGGAGACCTCTTGGTCACTCGGACCCCCACGCACACAGCTGGTGACACGTTCGTGCCCTCTCGGTGTCCACAGGAAGTCCCTTCACTGAAGGTCGCAGCCTCTCTCCTGAAGCTTCTGTTCCTGGGTTGCAGGTCACAGTGTTCAGAGGCCCGAGCCTCCCGGGGACGTAAGGGGAGGGGCTGCATTCTTTTTCGGCCTCTAAAGGTTGTTGCCCCTGGGCTTGGGAGTCTCTGCCCCCCAATGAGAGCAGCCCCAAGGGGTCACTCAGACTGTGCGTGCCGCACAGTCATTGTTCAGGGTGTGAACAATCAGCCTTTCTGCGCCGACAGTCCCCCAGAACTCCTTGCTGTGTTTTGAATTAAGTTCAAGCTCCTGCCTGTCTCTTAACCACATCCATGGTCTGTACCACTGTGTTCTTCCTCTGAGCCCTTGACCTCTCCCTTCTTTTCTCTGGTGATCTAGGCCATGGTGTCAGCAATACAGGTAGCAAATAGGGTGGGATTTGTGGTCTGACCTGTCGTTTATTCTGTGTGCTGTTCCTTTTTGCTTTGGCTGCTAGGAAGCTCAGAGCCCCATGTGGGCTCTCCGCTGGCGTCCACATGAGGCCTCTGCCCCAGGATGCTGCAGCCCCATCCAGAACCCCCCCCCCGGGTTTCCCCGCATGTTCATTTTGTCTTGCCGAGTGTGCATGTTCCTCGTGACAGCCCCCCCTTGGTGGAGCCCTGTAGGGTGTGAAGCAGGGACGCCATGATAGCACCCACCGTCCCCAGGTGCGCCTCCGTGGGTCTTCATCTTGTCAGATGAGACCCGAGGCTCAGGGAGACTGGGCCCGTTCTTGGCAAACAGTTCCCCAAATGCCTCCGGGACAGCCGGCCTCCCTGGGAACGGGTAGCATTGGCCGTGCCACTCCATCTGGCGTCTGTGGGCACAGAAAGGAACGGCGAGGACATCTGGGAGTAAAGTGCCTAGGGAAGGGAGGGCCGGCCTCGTCCCGCACGCCAGGCGTGGAGCTGGGTGACGAGGGCAGGAGGGGTCCTTAGAGATGCAGTCTCCGGAGTTTGGCCTCTCACCTCGGCCTTCCTTGCTTGGTGAGTTGACAAAACGGGTCACTTCCCAGCATTCCTGCTGGAACATGGACATGATGGCGGCATCTGCCCTGGAGACCCACTGCGAGGGCAAAACAGTGCCTCCCGGAGGCGTGGGTCACAGGCCCCGGCCTCTCCTCTTCGACTGTAGGTGGCCGCCTTCATCTGCATGACGCTGGGGCGTCAGTCCGAGAGCCTGTAGGGGACTCGGGTCCCCTCACTGACCCTCTCCCCAGGAGGGGTTTGAGGTCACTTGGGCATTTGTGTCTAAACTTGCAGCCTCAAGTCCGGCCGTCGGGTGGGGGTCAGGGGAGCCGGCGGGGTCCCATGTCACGTGGCTCCGCTCCTCACTGTCTCGTCAGCCACGTTTTCTCTGTTCTCACCTCTGGAAAATCATAGTGCACCTCACAAACATCCTGTGTGGAGCCCATGCCGTCCCCCTCCCGGGACTGCGGCAGGCAGGGTGTCCCTTTCCTCGGGGGCCCCGCCGGTGTCCCCTGGGTGTGCCGGCAGGGGCATGCGTCTGGCCCTGCCCGCCTGCTCACACGTGACACGTGCGGTGTGTCCTGTGTGCCGACTGTCCCACCAGCGACTCACCCCACTGGGCTTCCCGCCCGCTCGCCCGTGTCTGCTTTGTTTCCTGCTGACGTGCGTGGGTCACGTAGTGGGGGACGGTGACCCTGCAGGGCCCTGTCCGTGGGCGAGCAGGTTGCTGCCAGTCTCCTGAGGGCACACGTGTGTCACGTGCTTCCTTGGACCCCGTCTCTCTGCACCCCACAGAGTACAAACTGGCCTCGTTTTCTGAACAAGGAAGGAGTCCAAAGTGGCTTCGGTCTGTCCACTCAAGGACCTACTCCCCAGCTGCCCACTGAGGGGCACCGCCAAGTGGGGGCTGCACCACAGCGAGCCAGCGCCGAGCGGTGCTTGGGGGCGGGGTGCCCGCATTGAGTCCCCTCAGGAGCGGAGGGCCAGGGCCGGACCCTGTCTGGACAGGGAAGGACAGGCTCCCGGAGGAAGGCTGCTCTGCACAGCAGCCGAGGTTTGCAGGGCACAAGTGGGGGCGTGGCGCGTGCAAAGGCCCTGGGGTGGGAGGGGCTTCTTCCCGGAATTCAGTTTCTTCAGATGTCCTGGCTGAAGGCAAGGTTGGGTGCAGGCTTCCAGTGGGCTGGAGAGGGGCTCACAGGAGGGAACTGCAGCCCCCCACCCACTCATGAGCTGGTATGTGGCCCCCGTGGGTGCACCTGGCTGATATGAGCCTCCAAGGGCCTCTTGAGCCCCAGGATCCAGCGAATCGGGGCCGTTCCTCAGGGAGCAGGGTGGGACGGGTGGTCACTGGAGTCGGCCTTGGTTCTCGTCCTGCAGATGAGATGGACCCCGCCCTCCCCGCGCGCTCCGAATATCTGGTCTCAGGGACACGAACGCCCCCCGTGAGGAGGAACAGCAAGCTGGCCACCCTGGGCAGGATCTTCAAACCCTGGAAGTGGAGGAAAAAGAAAAACGAGAAGCTGAAGCAGACGACATCCGGTGAGCACCGGGGTGGGGGCTGGTGTCACTGCCACTGCGTGTCGGTGGCCAGCGCTGTCTTCCTGGCCCGCACTGGAGGGCAGGCCACGCTCAGTGGCTTGTGGCAGCCAGGGGCTGCTCAGCCACCTCAGTTTAGGGTCACCTCCGTCCTCGGGTTCTGCCAGGTCACACCCACCCGGCCAGGACAGGTCAGCGCCCAGACCCTAAGGGCACACGTGTCATCCAGGACCCCGTCACAGAGGCAGGGCCACCTGCACTGAGACCCCGGCTTCTCGCAAGCTCTCCTGGCTGACCCACTCGAGTCGCAAGCCCCCTGCCCCCAATTTCCTGGTGCTGGGCCCCGGGGCCCAAACAGCAGCTGGTGATGCGGACGGTCGGGCGTCAACTCTGAGCTCTTCCTGAAGGGCCTCCAGCTGGGGAACCCGCGTCCCCATGTCCACCCTCAGAGGACCCCGAGGGGCCCCCACTCACCTCCACCCGCTTCCTTACACTTGGGCCCCCGGCTCTGGGGGCAGTCAGGTTGCACCCCTCACAGTCCATGCTGGAAACTGACCATTAGACTGAACAGCAGGGGGTGTGTGGAGACTGCAGAGAACCGGCCACAGCAGCAAGTAGTGACAGCAAGTAGTGACAGCAAGTAGTGACAGCGTGCTTCTGACCGGGAGGACGCTCAGAGCCATCTCGAAGGGGTGTGGAGTCGGTTCTGCTCCCCAGTGGGTGCCCCCAGCACTTGCTCAGTGCCCGACACGTAGTAGGTGCTCAGTAAATAATTGCGATCGAATGGGCTGACTTCGCGGTCTTTACCTGTCTGTCCCCTGCTGCCGAACTGGAAGCTGCGGTAGGCGGGCCGCTCTGTTTGGTGCCCCAGCAGCCGGCTCGGGCAGAGTGCTCGCCTGTACACATGGGCGACCCACAGGCTTAGCAACCGGCACTCTGTCCACGTCTTTGAAAGACAGGATCTGAGGACTGTGTAGGTTCGTATTTGGAAGTTGGGTTCAACTGCAGGCAAATAGTGTGTGGGCAGCTAGAGAAAAGAGGGGGAACGAGGGTGAGTTGCTGAGCGTTTCCCTCTGGTTCTGGGGGCCGGGGCAGGAAGGGCTCTCCCAGGGGGGAGCCCCCCTGCCATGGCGAGCCTTGGTGCCTGTACTGGGGGCTGGGAGGCAGGACTCGGCCCTCTCCCCTCCCTGCACCTGGTGAGTTCTTTGAAAGCATTAACCTGGGGGGTGTGGAGGAAGCTCTGGGGGAAGGCCGCAGAGGCTGCATTACTGACAGAGAGTGGTCAGCACGTGTTTAGCAGCCGATAACAGGAACCGCAGAAGGGTGCCCCAGGGACTGGGGGCGGAGGGAGGCCGGTCTGGGGCTCCTTAATTAAGGAGCGCATGGCAGAGGGCATCCCGGGGGCAGTGCGGGCCTGCCAGGAGAAGGGTCAGCGAGGAGGCTGGGACTCCTGAGCGCAGCCCTCCCTGGGGGCTGACCCCTGACCCCGCCTCACCCATTGCCTCTCTCTGTCTCCCGGACGCTGCGCCCTGGGCCCCTGCCTGCGTGCGTGTGCAGTGCTGGAGAAGAAGGCTGCTGGCCGGCAGGGTCGGGAGGAGCTCATCAAGAAGGGGCTGCTGGAGATGGTGGAGCAGGGTAAGTGGGGGCAGGGGAGTGGGGGCTGGGAAGTAGGTGGTCAGGGTAAGTGGGGGCAGGGGAGTGGGGGCTGGGAAGTAGGTGGTCTCTCCTGGGACGCCCTCCTGGGCCCAGGGGCCATCAGGTAGAATGGAAATCAAGGAAGTCTGGTGTCCTTGCACGGTGCTGGACCCCCAGGTGGGGCCCCCACGGTGGGAGCAGCACCCCGAGTCATGACCCTCAGGCCCAGGCCCCAGGGCCTCCGAGAGCCCATCGGGGGAGTTGGGAGCCGCCTGCCATGGAGCACAGAGCTGGGAGCAGTCAGCCTCTGGGGGCAGGCTGACCAACCCCCTGTGACCCGGGCAACAAGCTGGTGGCTCACCCGCGCCCCGGCAGTGGCAGCGGGGGCTTTTGTCTTTGTCACGCCCACACTTCCAATCCCTGGTCTGGGCGAGTGACACGTACTGCCACCTGCGGCTCCTACTGCCGTCCCCTTGGCTCAGTGCCGAGGGCCGGGCTGGGCGCCATGCCCACCACATCCCGTGGTCTTCAGCTGGCACGTCCTTACCCACCCCCACCCCCACCCCAAGCGCAGGCCAGGAAAGCGGGGGTCCGGGAGGCAGCGGCCCAGATCACGCTGCCGCAGGACTGAGCCGCAGTTCAGTCCCTGGCCTGAAGGTCTTGGCGGCGGTGGTGTGTGGGCAGCCACCTCCGTCTGCCTCTTTGGCAAACACCAATCAGGACGGGTAGCGTGATTAACCCACGTTGTTCTTGATGTCCCTGTCTTTTTTTCCCGGTGATTCCGGGAGGCCTGACCTCAGGATGTGGGTCCTGGTGGGCTTTGTCCCCTGACACTGCTCAGGGTCGACCACACCTCCCTCCTGGAGCAGGCAGGGACTCTTCCCTCCGATAGAAGGAACCTGGCTTTAGCGGGGGCGGGGTGCACTTCTATCGAAATCCCCATCCACCTGCCTCAGCCTCCCACCATGCGGGGGTGGGGTGTGTGTGTGTGTCCGGCTCCTCAGGAAGGGAGCCCCCGGGGTCCGGGTTGGTAAAGCCCTTGGCTCTGCTGGGTCCTCTACTCTCAGACCAGCACAGTCCATGGTGGTCATTGTCCCTGTTTCTTTAGATGCTGGGACCGGGGGGGTCTGGACGCTGCTGTTCCAGGGGAAGGAAACCCACGTGGGCAGCAGTCAGACTCCGTGCGTGACGGGAGAGCTGTTCAGACGTGGGTCTGCAGGGCTGTCGCTGCTGAGACAGAGGTCGGCCTGCCTCATTGGACGGGACGGCACCCTGCAGACTCGGGGCACGTCGAATCTGTTGCCCACAAACCTGACTTTGGATCTGGGGGAAGGGAAACAAGATGAGAGAACTGAGGTCTGTTTATCAGCTATGATAGAAAACGGGGTCCCTCGTGGCTGGACACTAAGCGAGGACATGGACTGACCCCTGGGAAAGACAGGGAGGGGGACAGCCGGAGAAAGGGGCTTTTGAAGGGCAGCTCGCGTCCCCTGAATGCCAAGCCTTTGTTTAACGGTTCCATCTGACGGGCTGAGAGCAGAGACCTGGGGACAGACGGTGGCAGCAGCCCGAGCACTGGGGTGACCGCCAGACCGTGCGGCTGCTGCTGTGACGATGTTCTGCGCAGGTCAGCCGGCCAACCCTTTCCTGTGGAGGGTTAGGTGGTTGATGTTTGGGGATCTGGGGGCCGCAGGGTCCCTGTCGTGACTGCTGACTCCGCCACAGGCAAGGAGACGCTGACGTACGCAGCAGGGTGGACGTGGCTGCCAGTGGACGTATTTGTGAATGTTGAAGTTTGGATTTTGTGTCACTCGTGAACTATGAGATTTCTTTTGAAATTTTTCATGAGAAATTTTCTTACGAGATTTCTTTTTCAAGTGTGTAAGGATGTGGGGTCGGTTTTCCGCTCAGGCGTGGGAGCAGGTGGAGGGCTGCGTTTTGCCCTCCCCCCTGGCAGGTTGGCAGCCTCTTTCTCTCTGATTATGGACCAGGAACTAGAGGGGCCTGGGCGCAGTGTCTTTTTTCAGGTGTTGCAAGTGTGCTTTCTGATCAGCGTGCCAGCATTTTCTGGAGGAGACCTGCCGTACGTGCGGCATCGCGCTCACTGCCGAGGGCACGGGTGGGCCATGTACCACCCACTCAGGACGCACAGCAAGGGGGACAGACAGCAAGCGGCGTGTCTGTGACTCGGCCCAGGGGTCAGGGACTGGGGAGGGAGTTCTGTGAGCGCAGCTTTGTGACACGCTCTGGCGTTTCAGAATCCCAGCGGAGAGGAGCGCGTGACACCTAGGCCCACGGCGGTGCCCTGAGGACGAGACATGGGCGCCTGCCCAGCTGGCTTGCCCATGCTGCAGGGGGGCTGCCTGAGCAGCTCTGAGCAGAAGTGCTGTGCGGGGGTGGGGGTGGGGTGTGTTCCCACGAGCTCCGACCCTCCCGGCTCTTCTGGTGCAGCCAAGGGATCTGGGGCAGCAGAGTGTGTCTGCGGCCCAAGGGGAGCAGGGGACCATGGTGGGAAGAAGCGGGGTGCCCCTTCAAGGAGCCAAGATGGCCACTGTCTCCAGAAGCAGCCAGGCACATCCAGGCCTTGGCAGGAGCTCAGGGCAGCCTCAGGCCGGCGGTGAGGGGTCTGCAGGCAGCCTGCCCAGGGCGCCCACCCCGGCTGGAGGGGGTGTTACAGGGCGGGCCCCAGGTGCTGCTTCCAGGGAAAGGGCCCTGGAGTCAGGGAGTGGAGTGGAAGGTGGCGCGCTGAGCCTGGACGGGCACCTCGGAATTCTTGCTGTGTGTCCCCTCCCTGGCTGTACCCTGGCCACAGGACCTGGGGGCGCCTTCGTGGTGGACACCTCCTTGCCCTGCGTTCTTGTCATGCACCTGCTCAGAAAGGGCCTCTTGCTGGGGGTAAAGCCAAGGTCAGGGCCTGGGTACCCCTCACAGGAACCTGTGCTGAGACAGCGGGTCGTGCTGGGCGACAGGGTTCTGGAGCCCTGAGCCTGGAGGCTCCCAAGGGGGCGGCACCTCTGAGTGGGAACACAGCTCCCCCATCCCTCCACGTCCCCCCCAGCTCACGGGGGCGGCTGTGGTTTCTTGGGTTTGGGTTATGGGGTCCCCCTGAGCTGCAGCATCTGCTCCCAACCAGGCACACGTCCCTGCAGCGAGGGGCTCCATCCTGTGGCCACTGCGCTGTGGCCAGGACCCTACACAGCATGGGTGCCTGGAGGCTGAGTAGGTGACAGAAATTGATAGTCTCAGGCCACAGACCCTCCCAGAGCCTCCCGTGTCCTTAGCAGCCCCAAGACCTCAAACTTAAGATTCGCTGGCCAGCACAGACCTCGGGAGGGAGGGAGGGACGGCTCTCTGCCCCACCCGCTCACATGTAAGATGCCCTGGAGTTTGCATGTGCAGCGGTCACCAGCGTGACCGTGGAGCTGACTTGAGAGGCCTGTCCAGGGCACGGTTTGCCCTCCACCCTCTGTGGGGGTGACTTTGCGACATTTTCACGTCTGTGTTTGTGTCTCACCCTGGTTTTTGGAACCTAAGGAAAGGACTGTTTGTGGGACCGACCAGCTGGGATCAGGTCTGTGTGGGGAGGGGACCCTTTCTTCTCTCTCCATCTTCACGGCTGTGGCCGTGCTTCTCTCACATGAGTGACAGGTGAGGGCCAGCCCCAGCCCCTCCGCGTGACCCCACCCAGAGCTGCGAGTGAGGGCAGGAGCCCCAGGGGTCTCTGCCGGACGCTGTGTGTTCCTGGGTCACTCCATTCATGCCCACATGGCAGTTCCCTGAATGATTCCAGGAGTTTCGGAATCGTTCTCTCCATCATTGGCTGAGAGAGACTTGTCGCCCCTTTGCTGTGCCTGGTGACCCGAGAGACATGGGGAGCTTTCCTCAGGGGAACGGGGTGGTGGCAGCGGGGTGTCTGGTTCCCATGCAGCCGGGGAGCCAGGGGCAGTGAGCGCACGCAGGGCACTCGGGCGTGGTGTCTGCGGGCAGGTGTGTGGCGCAGTCCCTGTCCCCGGCCACCCCGTAGATGACACAGGCTCCGCCCCGTGCTCCCCTCTGTGGAGGGAAAGGGCAGTGTGGAAACAGGGCAGGAGGGGGGCGCGCTCCCACGGCTCTCCATCCCAACCAGCGTTTCCTAGCAACCGCCCTGCCACCGGGGCTATTTTGGGAACTGTAACTTTTCATTGAACAAGATTAAGGGCTGCAGCTCTGAGCCCTCACAGCTGAGGAAGTGGGGGCGGGGGCCCTTGGGCAGCTCTGTGGAGTCCGGGGAAGCCTGCACCTCAGGTCCTCCAGGCCCTGTGACCCCGCCAGCTCGTTCCCGGTGTGCAGGTTGATGAGGCGGAGGGACCGGCATCACTAACTGCACGGCAGTCACAGCAGGATGGCCTGCGCCTCCTTGGACCTCAGGGTCCGAGTCTGGGATTGGCGGTGGCAGCCTCGCCTGAGGTCCGGGGGACGGTGCCTGCACAGTGCCCATATGCGTGGTGCAGCTCACACGCCCTCACCCGGTGCTGGTGGTCACCCCCGTTCGTCCCCCAGGCTGACCGAGTGCACTGGGGGCAGAGGGAGCCACAGCTGGGTATGCGGACGGAGCCAGACGTGAGAGAGGGTCCGAGGAACTGCCGTCCTGGGCTCTGTGTCTGCCGTCCCCAGGGTCCGCTGTCCCCAGGGTCCGCTCTCTGGGCTTTGCCTGGGCCTTGTCCTCGGTCAGAGGCCGGCCGGCCGGCGGCCGAGGACCTGCAGCTGGGGGAACCCACTGGAGCTGCCTCCATGGGCCCTGAGCCGAGAGTGGCTCTTCTGTAAAAAAAAAAAAAAAAAAAAAGTAAAATCAAGGCAGCAAAGGCAGCATGGACCGTGCGGTGCGTGGCCCACAAAGCTAAGGCATCAGCTATCCATCCCCTTCTAGAAAAACGTGGCTGGTCCCTGGCCAGGACTCGTCAGGTCAGTGAGATGCTTTGGCCCCAAAGCCGTAGCCCCTGGCCTGGCTGACCTTTTCGCCCTCCTCGGGGAGACAGGTGCAGCAGCGGTCACTGTGCGGGGGGGAGCAGGCTCTGGGCGTGGCGTCGGTCCTGTTAAGGGAGCCTGTTCTCACCTGGACAGGTGGGCTGGGGCCCGGCAGCCCGACCTTCACGGCCGCCGCCCTGTCGCCGACCCCTGTCCGCAGCACGTACAGCTGCAGTCGCGTGCCCAGTGTTCAGGGGAGACACGCAGTGTACATTAGCTCACCGCATTTTCACCCCTCTGCGGGACGCAGGTGCTGAGAACCAGTCGTCATCCCCATTTCGTGGGTGAGGAGACTGAGGCCCACGGGCATGCACCGTGGGCACGAGGTACTGCGGCTCTGCGGGTGGCTGGGGTGGCCTCACACTTACTGTCCAGTCATGGCACTCGGGAGGTGGGAGGGCCACCCTGCCGAGGGACCCGGGGACGGCAGGCAGAGGGGCTCCCGGCTCCCCCCCCCCTCACAGTGGAGGGGAGTGGAGTGGAAGCAGTTCTCCGGGCCTGGCTGCTGTCCCCACACCGCTGCCTCCCGGCCACAGGTCATGCGGCCCCTCTGCCCTGTGGTGGCCTGCTGAACCAGCTGTGGAGACTGAGGGAGGCCCTCGAGGGACAGTGACCTGTGTCTCAGAAGCAGGGGCTCTGTCGGCTGCTGCGTCTCCCAGCCTGGACCTGCCCCCTTGTGGCCGTGGGACCTGAACCCGGCATTAGACTCCTGAGTGCCGTGCCCCTTGTCAGTGAGATGTGACTCCGAGGGGTCAAGGGCCGGGCCCTCAGAGGGTCCAGCAGCTGAGCCCCAAACAAGGGCAGCCAGGGCCCCCTCTCAGCACTGCCAGGGCCTGGTGCCATTTTCTGGGAAGGCCGCCTGTCTGCACCCAGGGACCCCATGCTCTGTGACACATTCAGCCCTTGGCAGTTCCCTGTTCCTGGGCTGGTAAGCCTTGGAGTGGGAGCCCACGGCGGGTGAGGATCAAGGCCCATTCCTCTCTGCCTTCCTGGGGTCTCAGGTGCCAAGCGTGTGGTGGGTTATTGAGAAACGTTTGCGTAAGGGGACCGCTTGGGGGAGGTGGGTGCAGAATTGAATCTGTTCTCTGTGGACACAGTGTGTCACCTAACAAACACCCCAGCACCTTGGGGGCATTGGCTGGCAGTATGGGGGTATCCCAGCCCTGCCCCACCTGCCTCTCGTCCTCCAGCTGGCGAGCCAGGTGTGCCCAGGTGTGTCCTCGGGGCAGGGGCACACAGAGGCAACAGGCAGGAGGATACAAGCAGTTTCGAAGCCACTGGAACCCACTAACATCCCGCTGACCAAAGAAGCCCCAGGGCAGAGTGCGGGGATGGGGCGGAGGGGCACCGAGAGGGACAGTGCGGGTGGAGGTCCGCGTCCGTCTCCCTGGGGCTGGAGGAAGTGCACAGGCCGTTGTGAGGGCAGAGGCCACGGGGATGACAGTGATGCGGAGGGACTTGGGTGTGGGGAAGCGGGGCGGGGGGCAGGAATAGGGCACCGCACAGGGTCCCGGGGAGGGACACGGCCCGGCGAGGCCCTGGCACGCCTGTGGAAGCAGGAAGGGCAGACGGGCTAGGCTGACGGCCGAGTTTCCTTGCAGATGCTGAGAGCAAGGTGGGCAGCCCTGGCGGAGGCCCCGGAGCCGCGCAGAGCGAGCCGCCCGCTCCCAGGCAGGAGGCCCAGGCTCCGGAGGAGGCCCAGCCAGGAAGGCCCCCGGCCGCCGGGACAGAGCAGGCTTCCCTGGACCGGCCGCTGTCCGTGGACAGCCACGTGGACGATGCAGGTATCAGCTGGCAACTGTGTGGGCCAACCTGCTCCCAGGGTGGCCATCGGCCTGGGCGGTGCCCGGGGTCCCTGGCCAGGGCCATCAGGAGACCGTCCTCAGAGGCACAGCCACGCCCCAGGCTTGAGCCCGCCACACTGTGCCCCGCAGTTGGGTTCAGGTGTGGCCAGTGGCTTTCCCTCCCACACGCCCCCGGGTCTGCACAGCCAGTGAGAGGTGCCCATGGTCCTGGGCGCTTCAGAGCCGGAGGCTTTCGCCCTTGGGGCTGGCGTCCAGCGCCAGCGTCTCTGCCAGGCCCAGGACCCCACGGCGGTGGGGGAGAGTCCCACAGCAGAGCCCGGCCTGTCCTGAGACAGGGGTGGGGGGCCTCCGTGCCCCTGGGTGGCGCCCAGGTGGGGGGCGGCCGCTTCTCCAGCAGGTGTGCTTGGTGCTCTGCTCCGGGCTGCGTCCTTCCGTGAAACGGGCCTGAGTTGAGGGAAGGACTCGGCCCAGTGTCTGCCTCCTTGAGCAGTTATCAGGGGTGTGGCTTTGAAGAGGGGGTGGGAGGGTCGTTTCCAGTTGAATCAGTGCGATGGTTGCCAGCCGGGCAAACCGGGTGACGACGGCAAGGGCGGGAGGAAGGAGAGCGTGAGCCCCACAGAGCAGCCTGCGGCGCTTTGAGGCAACGGGCCCCCCGCCGACCGGCCAGCGGCCTCCTGTGGAGCCGTGAGCCTGTTCCCTGTGAAGTCGCAGCTGTAGGGGTGTCGGGTAGTGTGGGGGCCGAACTTGGACAGTGTCCTGTGCTTGTGTGCACTAGGAAACCCCAGGGGGCGTCTGCTCTGCAGCTGGTGGGCATCTGTCCTCCACCGCTGGCCGCTGCCCGGTGCACACCTGTGCCACTCGCTGCCTCGCCCGTCCCCAGGGCCCCTCCAGCGTGGTAGGCACCTGCCAACGGGCCAACTGCGCCTCTCCAGTGTCACCCCGATGGGATACTGCAGGAGTTGGGTCTGAAGAATCGTGGCCATGGGACAGTCCCATCCTCCCCTCAGGGGTTCTCCTGGGACAATGCTGTCCTGCTGTCCCCAGGCATCAGGAGTCGGGGAGGGTGACGGTTGCTGGATTCAGGCCACTGAGCAAAGCCCCATCCCCCTCTGAGGGCAGCGCCTGCGGTTTCTGCAGCACAGAGTCCAGTTCAGGACCTTCCAGGGTGGGGCGTGCTGTCGAGCCTGGGGGCTGTCCCCCAGAGTGGTAGGAGAAGGTGGGCTTCCATGACGCCTGCTCCCAGACCCGAGCTCCTCCTGGGGTTTCTGGGACCACGCAGGAGCCTCTGCTGAGTGTTCAGTGGGTGAGCAGCGACCTCTGCTGGTCAGGATGAGGCAGGGCACCCCAAGGAAGGCATCCCCAAATCAGGGCAAGTGCAGAGCTCACTTTGTCATCCGAGTTTGTTTTCTTCTGTACAGCATTTGAGACTTAGAGGGATGTTGAAATTTCAGTTTCAGCAGGATTCCACACTGCCATGCGGAGCGCAGGGGGAGGCTCAGAGAGAGATGTGCAGACCCTCAAACCGGGGAGACATGTGGGAGGAGGGCCGTGGGGCGAGCTGCTGGTCCGTGGGGTCCCAGGGCCTTCCGAACAGGATGGGGGAGCCGTGTCCCACTTCGGGCTCATGGGGAGGGGGCACCTCCGTGGAGCGGAGGAAACCCCTGCTGTGGCCTCCCAGGTCGAGCGAGTGTGGGTGTGACCACCGACTCCCAGAAACCCAGAGCCGTCCTGGCTGGCCGTCACCCACTGTGTGTGTGGCTACTGATTAAATAAGTGCCAGTCCAGCTCTCGGGCACACCAGCCGTCCGTTGGGTGCTCACCAGCCACGGGTGACTGGTGGCCCCTGGAAAGGGCAGGGAGGGAAATGCTCCCATCGGCTCCGAGTTCCTGCAGCAACGTCGGGGGGAGACACCGGCAACAAGGTGATTGAGGGGTGACGAGTAAGGGGACCCACGGGCTGTTCAACACATGCTTCGCCAAGTTTCTGGGGTTGCTCCGCGTGGGCAGGGACCCCGCCTGGCTCCGGAGGCCTGTGCCGTTAGCACCATGGACAGCACCTGGCTCTGGGTGTGGGTGAGGGGCGGGGCTGCCAGACTGGGGGTTGCTCTGGGTGTCGGCACCACCTCGGTGGCGAAGACCAGACCGCAAGGGCCTCGCCCAGGCCCGGGCAGCGGGTCCTGAGGTGGGGACAGGAGGCTGCCTCTCCTGCTGGGGTGGGCAGGAAGGGAGGAGGCGGGTGTCAGGGACGGTAGATTTGTGTTTATCGGAGGAGAGTTCCTGTCCAGTGGCCCCCATTTCCCCTGTGAAGCCGGAGGTGGGGCTGCTGGCAAGAGGGAGGTGAGAAAGTGGAGCCCTCGATGCTGGAGCTGAGGGCCTGGGGCTTCCGCATCACCCCCGAGGGGGTGGGGTGCTGGAGGCTTCATCCAGAGATGGGACTTGTTCGGTTCAATGGAGAGGAAGGGAGGCAGAGTCTTGGGGCTGTGACCGAGGTGGTTGCTGTGGTGGATGGTGGACATTGAGCTGGACAGAGAAGTGGGAAAGGGGAGGGTGGGTGGGTTGAGAGAAAGTTGGGAGGCCGGGGTGCAGGGCAGCGCTCAAGGAGCTGCTGTGGGGGAGCCTGGACCAGCAACCGGAAGTGGCGGGTGGGGTGGGGGTTCTGGCAGGCTGACCCCTCCCTCCCCACTGCCTATCCGGTGTGCCAGGGGTGGTGCTGCTGAAACTGGTACGACCTCAGTGCGGACCGGGAGGCTTTGCCAAGTGCCAGGCACTCACCTCATCGTCACCTCGTCTAGTGAGGGACTCCCGTTATTGGTCACGCATGGCTAATGGGAGGGTGAGCGCAGACGCAGAGAGGCTTAGTGACGTACCCAAGTCACAGAGTAAGCACAGGGGCCAGCTGGAGCTCCGGTGTGTCTGATCCCAGGGCCTGTGATGGTGCCCTCCACCCAGGCCAGGTGGGAGCCTGGGACGCCCTCCCAGTGGTGAAACGGACCGGCTCTCGCTCCTGCAGTTTTCCCTCCGTCTTCCTCTCCACATGGGGTGGGTGGTTCTGATGACAGCTGAACACACAGGAAGTGGAGCCTGGGTGTGGGGTGTCCCTGTGTGTGGTCCCCTCTCGGCGTCCCTCCCGCCCCTGTGTCCTCCCTCCCGCCCACCGCAGTCAGAGGAACCGTGCTTTGGGAGCTCTCTGTTTGCTTTTGATCCAGCCAAGACACCCTCGGCCTCCAGAGGTGAAGAAGCAGACGCTGCCAGCGGCCTTCCACCCTCCACGGATGAGGCCGCCCCCCAAGCCTTAGCTGGGTCCGACTCCCTGGACAGCCCTCCCAGAACCTTGGAGAGGTCCATGGGCCAGCTCCCCAGTCCCCCACTGCTGCCTACCCCGCCCCCCAAGGCAGGCGCCAAAGCCACAAAAAGTGTGACAGGTGGGTCTGCGTGCATGGTCCGTCCCTCTCTCCCATCCATCCATCCATCCATCTATCTCTCCATTTCTCCATTTCTCCATTCGTCAGTGCCTCCGCTGCCCTGACGGGGCCTCCCACTGGCGGCCAGCCCTCACCCTCGCCCTCACCCTCGGCATCTGTGAGCTCTGGGTGGGTGCAGGCAGCAGCTCTGGGGGCAGGCGGGCTGTTCTCAGGCTTCCTCCAGCGCGTGGGGCTGGCGGCCTGTGGAGCGGGAGACACAGCCAGACCCCGAACGAGGTCGGACTGCCTGCCTGGCGTGCAGGTGCCCCGTGTCTCCCTTTTTATCTCTGCTCCCACCTCCCTCTCCCGCTCTCTCACTGCGTCTGCTCATTCACTGGTCAGTCATTCCTCTGGTGGCTTGGTCCAGGCGGGCAGATTCGGGTGGGTTTAGAGGGGGGGTGTGGCCGGGCAGAGGCCCCCCAAGGCCTTACTCCTGGGTCTCCAGCCACGCAGGCTGAGCAGTCCAGGTGGTTGAGACACTGGAATCGGGGAGCTGCTGGTCTTGGGAAAAGGTGGCCCCTTGCCCGGGGGCGGGGGGGAGTTTAGGAAATCCTGACTGGCAGCCTCCCAGGGCAGAGGGAGAGGAGACAGCAGAGGTCAGCAGCTCTACTCAAAGCCCTGGACCGCCCCCCAAGACACTGCTGCTTACCACCTGCCGGGTGCACACCGGCCCCAGGCACCCCGAGAGACCCCGAATCCGTACCGCTCACTCGCATTCCTAGGGGGCAGGGCGGGGGCCCCATTCACACTGGGGGAGACTGAAGCGCAGGGGCTCCAGCGGCTTGTCCAGGTCCCCAGCTAATGAAGACGGGGACCCAGTTTGGGGCCCAAAGCGCTCCTCCTCCCCCGCCCCACTGCTTCCCTGCTGGAACATTCTGTTCTCCCAGGTTCCCTGGTCAGCGCATCCCAGTCCCTCCTGCTGGGAGCCTTTCCTGGCCAAAGCCCCCCGGCCTCACCTCCTGGCCCCCCGGCATTCACTGGGTCCTTTCACTGTGTGGACGAGCGTCGGGGCGCTGATCGGATGTGCCCCCACTGACGCAGGGGTGGAGCGGGAGCAGAGGGGACAGGAGGGGGCTTCAGGGGCTTCGGGCTTTGGCTCAGATCTCTAGAGGCTGAGACTCCGCCCACTCGGGAGTTCTGTCATTTTCTTTACTGCCCTTTTCCCTTTACTTAGGGGAAACGTTTGCTTCATGCTGTGAACACTAGGTGGCGGCAGAGCAGGAGAAAGGCCCCTGCCTGGGCTTACCCGGGGCTCGCTTGCCAGCCAGTCCCCGGGCGCCTCCTTGTCTGGGATGTGCGGCCCCGACTTCCTCCCGCTCCACTGCCTGCCCCTCCATAGTGCCCACCTGGCCCGCCTGTGCTGGGCCCACACGGGTTCAATTTTTAAACAAGGTTGCCAGCAATTAAAAATGTAATTAAAGTATATTGGGGTATTAGATACTAACATGTATAAAAACATAGGAAAATTTTTACCTTTAATCCAAGTTTCTGGCTTTTCTGGGAAAGAGCATGAGGTGTGCTGTTGGGTCAGGAAACTGTCCCAGAGGGAGGGACAGGGATGCGCTGACCAGGTGCCGTGTGGGCAGAAGTCATCGCGTCCATCAGCCCTGAGTCGCAACAGCGCCATCAAGGCGGGCGGGCTCTCCTGGGTTTGCCCTTGGGCATGAACTGCTCCTTGACCCCCAGCTCTTCACCTGCCTGGACCCTGGAGACTCAAGACTTAACCCTCAGGGCGAGCTTCCCCTGGCCCTGCCCAGCTGGGTGACAGCCAGCTCCTGACAGAGTCCTTTGGCCTCTGCCAAGTACGCCTGGGGTCACCACCTGGGCGCCAGGTTCCAGTCCCTGCCCTGCCCTGCCCTGGAGGTGGCTTCTGAAAGTCAGTCTCCTCTCCCGAGGGGTGACAAAAGGTCCCCTGGGCAGGTGAAGTGCTCAGCTGTGTGGCATTCGTTCGGTGTGTTACCGGGGACAGTGGCACCTGTATCCTGGGGCGCGTCTGAGCTGGGTGGGCATCTGCGGGCCGGTGTCCCGGCTGCTCCGCACACACGTCTCCGCTGCCCTGGCCCTGCCGGCTCACATTCATGGTGGTCTTCCTCCTCCAGGCCAGCCCATGCTCTTCCAAGATGCCAGTGGGAAGAACACGGACCCGCCCGTCCGAGGACAGCTGTCCACTCCCACAGGGTCTCCGCATCCCTCCACTGTCCACCGGCCGCTGCCCCCCAGCCGCGTCATCGAGGAGCTGCACCGGGCACTGGCCACCAAGCACCGCCAGGACAGGTGGGCTCGGGCCCTGGCCTCAGGGGCCTGCGAGCCCAGGTTCCCAGCTGGGCCTGTCTCCCGGCTGCGCTCCCTGCGCCGTCAGCACATGCAATTCTCAGTCATCCTCGAACGAGGAGCTGGGCCTCTGAGTTTGGTGCCGGGCCCTGCAGCTGCCTTGTAGCTGGTCCTGGTTGCCCCGCGCTGTGAGGGGCTTGTGGGAACCTGGCTGTGAAGCCCCGGAGTTTCTCCAGAGGATCCTAGGGGTGGGTGCCGGGGGGCGGGCATGACCAGAGAGGCCCCTGAGGGCAGAGGCCGGAGTGCACGGGAGCCTATTTCCAAGGCTCGGAGCGTGTGACGGGGAAGTGAGCCTTTGGTGGGCCACGCAGGTGGCAGGACGCCCCCAGGGTGTGGCAGAGACGCCGGGCAGACAAAACGCCCTCCTCCGGTCTCAAAGCCCTGCTCCGAGGGTGGCTGCGCCCGTTGTGGCAGGTCCGGCGGCAGGTGCTCGCGCTGCTCAGACCCCTGCGTCCTTCAAGTGCCCGAGACTCGAAGCCTTGTGTGCGCCTGTGGCACTTCTTGTCCTGTGTGTTTGGGATGGAAGCCAGTCAGTCTTTCTTGTATTCAGGGTCGTCTTTGCGATGTTCATGATAGGTCCCCGTCGGTTTTGCGGTACTTCCAGGTGAAAGGGACAGTGTATGACCCAGTCTACCTTTCTGACTCAGTTTTCAAGGGAGGGACAGTAAAGTGTCCCCGAAGAAGCGGATGGACATCCGCCTGTCGAGGACATCCAGCGTTGAGCGGAGCAAGGAGCGGGAGGAGGCCTGGAGCCTGGACGGGGCCTCGGAGGGCAAGCGGGCGGCGGCCGCGGAGTCGGAGGAGAACAAGGAGAACTTGCTCGGGAGCTCGGAGCTGCATGACGACCTGCTGCTGTACCAGGACGAGGAGGCGCTGAACGACTCTGTCATCTCCGGTGAGCGGGGCTCAGCGACGGGGGGGGGGGGGGGGGGGGGGGGGCTTGTTTCCTTTTGGTAATTGCACATCAGCTTCGTGTGTGCGTGTGAGTGAGTGAGTGGAGGTGAACACCACCTCACCAGGGCCCTGCAGCTGCCTTGTAGCTGGTCCTGGTTGCCTTGCTCTGTGACTTGTGGGAACCTGGCTGTGAAGCCCCGGAGTTTCTCCAGAGGATCCTAGGGGTGGGGTGCTTCGAGTCTCGGGCACTCGAAGGACGCAGAGGATCTGAGCAGCGCGAGCACCTGCCACTGGACCCGCCACAGCAGGCGCAGCCACCCTCGGAGCAGGGCTTCCGAGACCAGAGGAGGGCATTCTGTCTGCCCAGTGTCTGCCACACCCTGGGTGTGTCCTGCCACCTGCTTGGCCCACCTCACTCATTCCTCAGGAGACGTGGCAGAAAGTAACGCCCCGTGTCCTCAGAAGCCCAGGGTTCGGAATGTGGCCACAGCACTGGCAGGAGAGCGAGGTGGGGCCTGAGCAGGGAGGAGCGGCCTCGGGACAGTGAGAAGCACCGCAGGCCTGCCCTCGTGTGCGCTCAGGCTCTTTCGGGACAAGATGACGAACAGGCAGAGGACCTTAGCGGAGGAACACACTCTCGGAGGGAGCCCAGTGCACAGTCTGGGGCTACAGTGTGGTCTCCGCAGTGGGAACTTCCCGGCAATCGGAGACCGCCCCACGGCGTCACTGCCGGTCCGATGGGCTGTAGGGTGTTTCACACGGGGCTCCTGTGGCCCCCGCAGGGCGCGGCCTCCTGCTGCCCTCCTCTCTCTCTCGGTGCCCAGCCCCCCCTCCGCCTCCCGGCACGTGAGCCCACATGGGGCCGTCGGAGGACGCCCAGTTCCAGAGTTGCCTTCTTCGGTGCAAAGCGGCTACCTTAGCAACGTGGAGACAGGGAGGCACCCAGCGGCTAAGCCTTCCCGGTCTTCATCTCCGTCATTACCCTTCGAATGAAGCCCGGAGTGGGACCGAGAACAAGAGCTCATGGAGAGTAATTCCAACTCCTGGGCTCCAAGGACTTGGGGTGCGGCAGGGCCAGGAGCGCCCGTCAGGACCTGAAATAGGCAGCCGCTTTGGCCTGGGAGTTCTCCCTTCCAGGGACAGGGCTGATGGGACTTGTCACACGGGTGCAGGGAGCTACCGAGGACGCGCCCCGCAGCTTTGGTTAAAAGGGCAGGAACACACCATCTGGTGTCCATTCCTGTGGCGCTCACACTCTGGAGAACGTACCGCCGTGGAAGGGGAGCAGGGGGCCCTTCACTCGGGCTTGGAACCCGAGCCAGACATGGCGTGAGGGCGCGCCCACGGGCGGGCTGCGGATTGTGTGGACGCAGGCCTGGGAGGAGACTGGGCAGAGCCTCAGGAGGCGAGAAGTGGGTGGGGGCGGGGCCGGCCCTCATCCTGCTGCCAGCCCTAAGGGGCCGGCCGCGAGCCCGTGTGGGGGCTTCTGTAGTGGGTGGGAGAGCGTGCGTCTAACAGCCAGGTCTGAGCTGCGGCCCTGGAGAGCTCGTGGCCCCTGGACTTCACTTGTGGTTGTACTGATTCACCAGAGAGAGCTGGCCCCCCCCACCCTCAGCTTCGGATGTCAGGGCCAGGACCCTGGAGGTCAAAGGGCAGTCTCTTGAGGCAGTCGTATGGTTTTTCTCCTTTTATGTTTGTTAATTTGGTAAATGACATTGACTGCTTTTTAAGGATGATAGGTCACCTGCCTCCCTGTTGGTCTTGGTGGATTAGCACTTTCACCAGTTGTCGGATTTGATTTCCTAAGGTTTTGTTCAGAATTTTGCATTAGTGTTCATAGGTGCCGTTAGTCTACAGTTTTCTTTAAGTGTCTTTTCTGGTTTTAACATCACAGTAAATTCTTCCCGTGAATTTAAGTGGTTCCTTCATTCCATTTTGTGGAAAATGTGTGTATTATTGGTGTCACTTGTCTCTCACTGTGTTTCGTAGACTTTGCCAGGGTGTCCATCTGGCCCTGCTGGTAGGTCTTTGACCGATGGCTGCAGTCTTGGTGGACGTGGGTGTGCCCTGGTCACACGTTTCCTCTCGGATGAGTCCTGACGGTTCACCCAGGCTCAGACCCCCGGGGTTGGGTGTCCGACTCCCACCCTCTCCCCTCGCGATAAGTCTAGCTGGCGCTTGATCAGTTTTACTGCTCCCTCCAAGAACAGCTGTTGGGCTCAAGGATTTTCTTTATTGTTTTGCTATTTTTTATTGTATTGGTTTCTGCTCTGATCTTTATTATTTTTCCTCGTTCCTCGGCTTTACTTTGCTCTCCCTTCCCAGTTAAGGCAGAACTGGGGGGCGCTGATGGGGGACCTCCTTCTTCCTAGGAAGACACCGGGGGCCTGGGTGCTCTCCCGAGTCTCGTCGACGGGCTGAGGTTCGACTGCCTTCACACTCCCCTTCCGACGACTCCTGGGAGCCGTGGGTTATTCAGGAGTTTTTCATTTAGTTTCCAAAGAGTTCGGTATTTTTCTAGAGATCATTTTATTATTGATTTCCAATTTAGTCCCACTCCAAGGAGACACTGTACGGAGCATGACTTGAGTGCTTTTAAACTTATTAAAACTTGCCCCGTGGCCCGGAATGCGGTTTCTCTTGGCAGATGCACTGGAAAAGGATGTTTGTCTTTTGGTTTGGGGGCAGCGTGTTCCTCCCCAACCCAGACCCTGCGCGTCTGCCCGTCACGTGTACAGGGTCCGCAGACGCGCTCTGCCCGCTCAGACCCACCAGTGTCTGCGTCACATGCTCGGGCCTCTTAGAGGGTCACGAACATCATGGATCGTTCTGCCCTCCTGAGGTCGTCCCCTTGCCACTAGGAGGGACCCCCCCCCGTTGTTCCTGACAAGCCCTTCGCCCTGAGATCGGCCTGGTCTGGTGTCCGCAGACTGTGTCCACTTTCTTTGGACTCGTCTCAGAGTTGGAATGTCTTTCCCTGTACACTTTAAGGCTGTTTATGTCTCTCTACTTACGGTTCCTTATGTTTTCAACAGTTATTTAAAAAACTACATTTAGTGTTAAAGTACGAGAAACTAAAACTAGGAAGGACGCATGTCTGGCGTGACTGTGCCAGCAGAGGTAACAGTGCGCACGCTTCCAAAATTAGCCACACACACAAGTATTTGTTTGTATAAATGCACATCACTTTTCTCAACATCGTGACCGTCCTTTTGTCCCCAAGAACAGGCCACTGTCTCCCTAGGTGACAAAATTCAGGTGGCGCCGGTGCCCCGTCATTTAGCAGGCCCCTCTTGCTGGGTGTCCAGGTGGTTTCAGTTCCTACTGCCAGAGACGAGGCTGGATGCGTAGTGTGTGCCCACCCCCTGTGCTCTGGGCGGCGGACTCCTAGAAGGGGGATTTCCGGGTCAAAAGACCAGACAACATGCTGTTCGGGGGTCCTGGGGGGGGGGGCTTGCTGGCCGCCTGCGGTCTGGGCGGAGGGCAGCCTGGCAGCCTGTTTCTCGGCGTCCCTCCTGCCCAGCACTCCGCTGCGCGCTGGTTCCCCCCTGCCCTGCTCACAGCACCCCGCTCGGGAATGCGTGCTCGTGTGGGTGAACCCCGTCAGGTTTGGGGAAGGCGCACCAATCAAGTTCAGGAAAAGCTCTCATTTTACGCGATCTCTCTGGGAATTTCCTTTTCTGACTTCAAAGTAGCAAAACCCCGTGAGTCCTGGTGCCTGGGGAGAAAGACCTGACTCATGTTTGTTGTAGGCCTACTGTGTGCTTGTCTGTGCTCACGGAGGCTGGGTGACGAGCAGAGGAGGGCTTGCCCCGCACCCAGCTTTCCCGGGGAGTGAATTCCCTGTCCCATCTAGAAATCGGAGGTGAAAGGGCAAATTTCTCGGTTTGTAACGACGAGCCCGAGATGTGCGCTCCAGGCACAGGGCTTGATCAGAGCGGAGGCACTGGAGCCCACTCGGTGCAGTTTCCTGGTCGGACACACTGCAGCTCTCTGGAACTGGTCCCTTCCTGCTGGGAGCTGAGCCTTCACGGGGGACGAGCCCCGAGACCCTGGACATGCCCTGGACTCTCAGACGCCGTAGCTTTCGGTGCCCGCAGCATGCGCGGCCAGGACCCGCTGACGATGCTGCGGCCCCCGAGGCGCCTTGCGGTTCTGGGAACACAGGGCGCCGGACAGCGTGGCACGGTTCGAACGGACGTAGGCCGGAGCCCCTGCTAAGCTGCTTTCTGGGACCACTTTCTTCTTGTCCACGTAAAACAAGGTCCATTCAAAATTCAAGCCTCAGCGTAGTCCAGCTTCTTGGGTCTTACTGCAAACTTCTGCTAAACTGTCACGTGACTAGACTTATTCCTTACTTTGTGTATTTCCACCTCCCACACGAGAGGCTGACTTTCTTCTGTGCGCCCCTTGTACCTCGGCAGCCCCCCAACCCCCGCAAACCTGCAGTCGGGTGGCACTTCCCCCGCAGTCAGTGTCTGGGGGTGGGGAGGGCCCGGGGACAGTGGGACCGCTGCTCAGAGAGCTCCGATACCTGAACCCCAGTTGCTGGTACACAAAGACGGTTTTCCACCTGCAAAGCGGCCACACTGGAGGCCCCTCTGAGTCAGCTGATGTTCTGCTCCCCCAGGTCTTACTCGTGCCCAGGCGCCAGCCCACTGGTTCTGGGGGAGGCGTCAACACACACACCCCCCCCTCCAGTCTTCACGCAGCAGCAGTCATCAACAGCCTCTGCTGACACTGACCTAGCACCCTGAGAGCAGGCTGCGCTTGACCTTAGTCTCAAGGAGGAGACGGAATAAAGTAACAAGACAGAGGCGGAGCCAGTGATGGGCGTGGTGCAGATGGGAGGCCCTGCGGGGCCTTTAAGGGAAATGGTCCAAAGTTAGCCCCATGGTTCAGAGAGAGGCCTGCCCCGATGGTCCAGGCCGAGGACACACATGGGCAGAGACCGAGGTGGGACGTCCCAGGAGTGGAAGGGCCCACCTGGGCGGCGGGCAGCAGGGAGGGCTGCCGCGGGTAAAATGACTAAGTTGTGGTCCAGACGTGGAGGCTTTTGAAGGAACAACGGGGTGGTCTTAGTAGTCCACCCCGGGGCAGTTGATGTCAGCCAGCACTGTCCCCGGACACCTGGGCCACGGGGTCGACCCCCAGCCTCGGACCACGGGAGACGGCGCCGTCACCGTCCCCTGGAGGTCAGCGCAAGCTGGTAGCGGCCCCTCCAGCAGGGGGGTAGCTGCTGCAACAAGCCTCCCTAACGCTGTCTCTCTGCTGCCCCGCCCCTCCCTGCTCTCCCAGGAACTCTGCCCAGGAAATGCAAGAAGGAGCTGCTGGCCGTGCGGCTGAGGAACCGGCCCAGCAAGCAGGAGCTGGAGGAGCGGAACATCTTCCCCAGGAGGACGGACGAGGAGCGGCAGGAGATCCGGCAGCAGATCGAGATGAAGCTGTCCAAGTGAGTGGCCGCCTGGCCCCTGCACCGTCCTCGTCCCCAGGTTCCTCACGCGGCACCGTGGCAGTCTCTCAGCCTAGCCACTCTCCACACGTGGAACCTCTGTCATGGGGGTCGTCCCGGGTACTGTCACGTGCGGCTGCACCCTTGGTCTCTGTTTGCTACGTCCCCATGATGACCCGGACCGCCCCCGGAGGGTGCCAGGTGCCCCCAGTGGAGAAGGAGGTTCTGGGAGCCAAGCAAGTGCCTGAGGAGGGAAGGGTGGTGGCGGGTGGGAGGGTCGAGGGCAAAGTGGGGAGGGCGTGCCTTGTTGGGGGAGGGGCGGGGGAGGGTCCCTGTCTGCCCAGACCAGGTCGTCTTCCCGCAAGACTGCGCATCCCGTGTCACCACGATTCCTGAGTGTCGGGGAAAAGCCGGGACCCCGTGTGGGGGCGTTCTGTGCACCAGCCGAGCCCTTGGCCGCTGGGCAGGGAGCTGGGCCTACCAGTGAGCACCCTCTGCTCACAGCCCCCAAGGGCGCCCGAGGTGGCCCCCGGGTCCCTGGCTGGAGGCCCGGGTACGGTGAGACAGGACAGTATGCGGTGTGTGTGCCCCCCAGTGCCGAGGTCAGCTGGGACGCAGTCGTGCCCCCGACACAGGACACCTGGGGGGGGGGCGGGCGTGAAGATGGGGCGGGTTTGATGCTGGACCAGGCTCTCCGTTGCACTGAAGACCCCGAGCACAGGAGTCCAGAGCTCCTGGCCCTCAGTTCTCTCATCTGTAAAGGGGGTGCCGACTCTCCCGCGGTCACTGCGTTTAGGGGGTCAGGGGTCTGGTGTGGGCGGTGCAGGGCAGGGTTCATGCCTTGCAGCAGACACACAGTCGGTCACCCGCTCGTAGCCAGGTCTTCAAGGGGCCTTCCTGCCTGGGCTCTGTGTGGCGAGGCCACCTGCGGTGCAGATCGTCGTCTGGGGGCCTGTGGTAGCCGGCGGCTCCTGAAGTGCGACAGGGCTCCCCAAGACTAAGGGGGCCCCCCACAGGGACCCCTGGAGAGAGTGGTCTGGACCAGCATTTTCCAAAGCGCTGACACGTGCGAGGCATCAGTCTGCAAGCTCTCCGTGGCCGGCGAAGTCTGGACGCCCCTGCACCGGTGAGGCCTTCGCCCCAGACTTGGCAGAGGCCGGCAGGACGGTGCCCTCAGTGTCCTGCAGGAGGTGGAGGGGCCTCGGCGAGGCCACCTTCCCTGGGCGTCTCGGGAGCGTCTCTGGGCCACCGTGAGGCCCATCCGACACTTAGTTCCTTTTTCCCTCAAAGTCTTTGCTTCTGCAGCAGCGGGGAAAATGAACATTCTCAAGCTGTCACCCTTACAGAGTGTTCCCCGGTGCCCCTCCTGGTGGGAACCGTGTCACGGAGCACGCCACCACACTCTCAGGGGAGGCGAAGTGGCTCTTTGAGGTGACGGCGCTGGCTGGCGGTTCTGCTGCGCGAGCCTTCGTGCGCGCCCACCTGTCTCAGTGCCTTGGGCCCGTCTCCCTGACGCGCGTGCACCTGCATGAGGTTCAGTTTGTCGTTTCTCGTCTGTAGGGAGATCGAACGTCTTCCCAGGGTTTGTGAGCTTTTGGCCTCCTCTCCTCGTGTCCTCTACCCGCACTTTTCTTCGTTGTGATGACTGCGGAGGTTGCTCGGAAGTGGGGCCTCCGAACCCTTTCCCAGTGATGTGGGTTGCTCGGCCCTGCCTGCGGGAGGCTCGGACTCCTGTGTTGTGCATGCTTCCCTTGCGTGCGCAGAGTTGGTCATTTTTGAGGTCATGGGTCACCAGTCGTGCGCTTTAGGCATCGGCAGACTTCTGCTACAAGGGGCTAGGCTGTGACTGCGGGCGGCTTTGTGGACGTGTGTCTCCTGTGACTACGTGGCTGCGCTGTCCTGGCACTGCCACGGCCACAGGTGGGACGGGACGCGTGGATGGCACGTCGTGAGGAACCGGGCCAGTAAGACTCTGTTCGGGAGCACGGGCCCTTGGAACACGGCGCGCTGAGCCTGTGTCGCCGCAGGTGGCTCATGCTGTCTTCTCCGCGTTAGAGAGACCCCCTGCCCCTACACAGGGGGAAGAACATTCACTCGTGGAATCCCTGCTGCGGCTGCCTTCCCAGGATGCCGGTGGGTGACGGTTTTCTGTTCGACAGAGAAACCAGACTCTCCTTTAAAGTGGTGCTCAGTGAGTGAAGGGATGAAGAGTAAGTTCTCTGTGACGGTGTCTGCAGTTGAACATAGAAGGAAGCCGTGGTGGCCCTGGGAGCACAGAAGCCTGGGGACCCCAGCCAGCCTGCGGGCGCAGTGGGTGGAGCCAGGAGGCGGCACGGAGGGCCTCAGTTTCCTCCGTCACCCCCCGAGACTGGGACCAAGTTTGTACCTCGGACTAGGAAGCAGCAGCTGCTCCCGGGGCGTCTGGCTCTGTGTTTGCAGGTGGAGACGCACCCCCGTCGGACACAAAGCGCCAAGAGAGAAGCCCGGGTGGTGAGGCCTTCCTGCCCGTTGGCTTTCTCCACGGAAGTGGTTTGATTGGGTCCCTTTGTCTCCATTCTGCCTCCTTCCTGAAGGTCCCTCCGCCATCACTCGCTGAGTGATTCAGTCTCTGGTTGCCACGGCAACATACCCTTTCCCTCATGTCTTGAAGGGTCGTTAATGTTCTTGTTTTATTTTCAGACCCTTAAAATTCTGTCACTGGGGACTCCTGGGGCCCGTCCGGTCACAGTGCTCCATGTGCCCCCCAACTGCCCCCGGACGCCCCCTGTGCTGGACCCGGGGGCCCAGAAGAGGGCCACCTTCAGTCCGTATTTCCGACCCCCTCACCTTTTCTCTCATCTCCCACCCGCCTCTGGCAGCTGCCAGATGTTCTGAGTCTGCGAGCTGGCTTCTGTTGCTCATTTTGGTCTCCGATTCCACCACGTAGTAGTGACGTCACACATCCCTTGTCTTTCTCTGACTTATTTCACTCCACACGACGCCCTCTAGGCCCACTCACGCGGGTGCCGAACGCAGCATGTCTTCTGTTTTTCGGCCGAGCGTGCGTCCAGCCCTCACATGCTGGCGATGAGTCTTTTCAGATTCATCCTTTGGGCGTCTTCGAAAGAACCCCCGGAGGTGGGGTTGCTGGGTGCTTGGGAGTACCGTTTTTGATTTCTTGAGGACCCTGCATGCTGCGAGGAAACGCAGCACTAACGGGGTTAAGGGACTTGCCCAGGGTCACTCAGTTGGGAGGAGGTGCACGGAAGCCCCTGGAGCATCACTTGGCCTCAGGAGCAGCGTTTTGGCAGGGACGCCCCCCCCCCCCCCGAGTTTATCTTGGCGGCGGCTCTGCGTTTCTCGCTCTGATTTAGCTTCCTCGGGGTGCATTCGGACCCCCAGTCAGCATGCTGGGCCTCCGGGGGCAAGGCGCTCCGTGCCTGTGCGAGGGGGTGGCAGGAAATGATGACCGTGTCCCCCAGCATGGAGCCCTGGGGAGCTGGTGCAGACGCGCAGACAGACGTTCCAGCTGAGCTCAGGCTGAGCTCCAGCTTGGGGGAAGCGCGGGCTGGCGGCGTCCCACCCCAGCTGTGCGACTCTGTGCAAACACCGTGGTCCTCGAATCTCCCTTCTGGTGGCCAAATAGGGACAGTGACAGCACCCTCCTGCCCAGGGCCCTTTGGGAGGTGCTGGTTGGTCCCAATGAGAGTGCACGAGAGGGCGTTCCCTGCAAGAGGTGCTCAGGGACGGGGCTGCTGCCGTGCTGGTCTCGGCCAGGCCACCCCGGGGATGGCCGTCATCGTGCAGGGAGGAGGCTCTGCAGCGACCTCAGCAAGGATGGAGGGGGCTGCTTTGGGAGCAGCTCTGGGGTGGGGGTTCAGGGGGCCAGGCAGTGGTGGGCTCGTGTGGTCCGTGCTGATGGGAGGGTCAGTGAGGGCAGGGTGGTGGTTACTCGAGGCTGGTGTGTGGTTTGCCTGGAGACGGAGGAGGGAGGGGCCAGCCCTGCGTGATGCTCAGACCTTCTGTTAACTCTCCCTGGGGGTGTCCTCCTCTCCGGGATCCGGTGGCATCTTGAGGGAGCTGATTAATGCTCAGGAGCGGCCTTCAGGAGCGGGTGTTTAGCATGTCAGCACAGGCGAGCGGGGATGCTGCAGCCTGTCCTTCCCTGTACATTCTGTTCTGCGTCTGGAACAGGCCGCCGAGCTCCGGCCGGCCTGCCAACGCCAGGGCCCCGGGGAAAGGGTTGTGGGCTGCTGCCCACCCCTCCCCCTCTGCCGAGGCTGCCTGAGTCTGCAGTTGGAGACCTGCTGCCTGCAGGGCGGGAAGGACCTGGCACAGCTTCTTCGTGGGGGGCCAGGCCCGGAGCACAGGACTCCGTTCTTCGTCCAGCTGAAGCCTCGAGAGAGGCTGGGGCGTGGAGCTGGGGTCTCAGTCCCGTGGACCCAGAGTCCGGAAAACAGAGACCTTTTTCAATGGCCAGAAAGGGAGCCACACCCTCGGGAACTGTTGGGGTTCACTGCCAGGGGCATGGGTCGGCACGCTGACAGCCGGCCACCACCCTCCCCTGCCCAGCCTGTGCTTGGCGGGGTCCCAGCTCGTGCAGAGTCACTCCAGTCCAGTCCCCCGGGCCTTGTCCCGGTCAGGGGCCACAGCAGCGTGGCTGGTGACCGCAGTCGCCGCTGACAGTTACGGTGTCTCTGGTGAGCTGCTCCCGGCTCAGTGCTCCTCCTCACCCTGCTTTCCAGACCAGGAAGACCGGTTCCGAGCCAGGGGTTGCTTTCCCATGTCCATGCGCCAGGAGATGTGTGGTGGGTCACTGGTCCCTCTGGTCATCCGATCCACGCCCGTTCCCACCCCCGGCCCTGCACACACATCGCCAGGAAGCTCGTGCAAACACAGATTCCAACGCCCACTCGCCGTCTCCGTGTGGGAATCCGAACTTCCATAGAGCTTTGCTCTCCTGGGTGTGCTGCCCACAGGGTGCTGCCCTGGGCAGCCACGTGTCGGACCCTGGAAGGCCG